TTGGTTCGTGGCTACCCAGAATTGATAGTAGTTCATCATCAGAAATAAAAAAAAATCTTGGAAATGCATTTCTTTTACTATCTAAATAGTCATTTAAACTTTTTTGACATTTTTCAAGTCCAGTGGAAAGCTTTTGAAGAGTTTCTAGCCGATTTGTTACATGAGCAGAATCAACAATTTTTGAGTTCTTAACTGTTTCATTCATAATCTATAATATATATATATATATATATATATATATATATATATATATATATATATATATATATATATATATATATATATATATATATATATATATATATATATATATATATATATATATATATATATATATGTATGTAATAATAATAATAACTATCATTATTAAAAAATCTTTACATAAGATAAACTCCTCAGTTCTAAATATTATATATAACACAAATTTATGTACACTTCACTATGTAAAGCACTACACATTACATTTATTTATGTATAAAGACTTCAGCATTGACTCTAGTCAAATAATTGTTGCTTGTTGCTATATATTTCATGTAAAATTTAACTGGACATTATTAGGAGATGCTAAACTTTAAAAAATGTTATGAATCTGTTATAAATAATCCTATTTGTTTAACCTAAATACGCTCTACTGCATAAACTACAGCTAATAAGATAAACAACATTTTTCTTAAAATGTGATTTGCGCTGGAATGTCAATTTACATGTGACAAAATCAAGTTTGCAAACACCTCTCATCTCATCTTTTTTAGATCTTAATTGCCAGTGACTTTTCTGTTGTAAAAATTAATCTAATTTTATCTGTTAAATCTCTTTTATCTGTTAAACCTTGACATTTTAATTATCTATTAAACATGTTGACCTCAACACTTTAATTATCTGTTAAACCAGTTGATCTCGACACTTTAACTATTGATAAATGTTTTATTTAAAGTTTTGTTTATATGTAAACTTATTTATAAATTCAATGCTGCATCCATTCTTAGCAAAGCGTGATGAATTTTGTTTAAACTAATATTATGTAACTCTTTGGTGGTAGCAATTCTATTACATCTTAGAGTTTCTGAATAAAAAAAACAACTTTTAATGACTAATTGGAACAAAAGAATCAAATGATAAACAAATATTACTGTACTGTAAATTTAACAAATAGTCCTTATAAGTATTATCAGAGAAGGTTACCATTGTGTTTAAAAAAGGTATACAGTTGTTTATTGGTTCTTCAAATGTAAAATTAATTTTTGGGTCTAGACAACATTATGGAAAATTTTTTTTTGCAAAAATTATAAATGATAAATACATCATTAATATATCTTTTAAAATAAAATAAATTGGCAATACATCGCTCGCTTTACATTTATTGTAAGTAGTTGAAAACAAGTTGCGTTGAGATATTTATTAGCTATAGATTGAATTGCATTATTAAATTTTTTATTTTATTTAGAAGTTGATAACATTGAATGATGGCTGATGCCTGATCTGATCATATATTTAACATAATAGCAAATAGCAGGTCTGATAATTGATCAGGCCATATATCCAAAATAATAGCAAACAAAAAGAAAAAAGAAGGAAAGCAACATAAACTTTCTTGCCAAATACTCATCCACGGTGTTCTGCAATACAACTGTTTTGTTTTCTTGGAGCACTTTAACAACCAGAAAAATTTTTTTTACCAGATATGATTTAATGACATTATTAAAAGATAATATTATTTATTACATTTCATAAAAACATTTTTAATGAACTGAAAATGATAATTTATTCAAAATTAAATAATAATCCTGATAATAATAAAAACAATCAAATATTTCAAAGGATGATCAAAAAAATAGTGATTTTTTTAAAAATATAAATCTGCTTAAATGTCAGCAGCTATGAAAGTCAAGTTATTTTTTGAATGCTATCCTTATTACCTTCTGGTGTTATCCTTAAAGCAACTACACAAAGTAATGTAATTTTATCATAAAAAGACAAAGTTCTATAAAGAAACTACATCGTTAATATTTTATCTGTTTTTTGTTTTTTTAACACAAAAATTTAATTAAAATTTGTTTCAAAAAAATAATGAACTATTTAAGCAAATTTTAGCAATTTCTCACTAAAGAAACAAAACAAAAACAAAGAAAAAAAAAAAGAATAATTTTCATCAAGTGAAGCTTTTAGTTTTATTATAAAACAGTAATTTAATGACACCTTAAAAAAATTAGTTCAATGCATATTTCTAAAGATGGTAACATTTTATTTTTATGAAAATTAATTCAACAGGTTGAAAAACAATTTTATCCAGTATAAACCAAAGTTAATAATTATAAGCCTTCATAACTTTGGCAATCTCTTTTGGATCATACAGTTGAACAAATTGTAGATGACAATTTTAAACTGATAATATGGTTTCCCTTAAAACAATTGCTATTGTCATTATTATTATTATTATTATTATTATTATTATTATTATTATTATTATTATTAATATTAGTTTCCCTTTAAATTCCCAATTATTTAGTTTGTTTAACAACAGCATAAGCTTGTTTACCATTAGTTTGCTTACCATTACCAATATTATAATATATTCTTAAAAATATTTATCTAAAAAGTATTGTTATGAATAATTACTATTAATATAATTATTATCAATTTTCCATTAGTTTGGTTGCTGGTAGATTAACATTTCTTTTTACTCTAAAGAGAAATTTAATAAACATACGCTTTTAAAGATTTTATCAATATCATCAAACTTCTTTGCTTCTTCAGGAAGCTGACTTCTGATATCTCCTCCAATAAAAATGCTCTCCAAATACATCCATTTACGCTGAACAACCATCCATATCTAAATGTTATTTCTGCAAAATTGAAATCATCATTGTTTAAACAAAAATATAATTAAAGTTATAACAAATAAAAAGTTTGTAATTCTCTGCTATTAAAACTACTTTATTTTTTTTAAATTTTTAATAATTTCATAAACAGTATATGTAGTCAAGTACTATTTCAGGGATTAATTTTTGTTTAAACCCATAAGTACGTACCCACTACAAAGAGCGGAAAGAGTATAAAGAAGTACTTCATGGCCTAAAGTATGGAAAAGTTTAATAGAAAAGGCAGTCAATTTTCTTTGTTTATTCAGCAAGGGGTCATAAAAAATAGCTTTTAAAATCTTGAGTCTAATTTTGCACACCAGTGTCTAATTTTTCATACTAATAAAAAAATTAAACATTTTTTAGTTTAAACTTTAAGAAAATATTTTTCTAAAATATACTTTAAAAGATAATGCTAACATGATAATTCTTAAAAATTTTTTTTTTTAATAAACAAGGTTGTATTTACTGTATTGTCTCTATAATTTCTACCTCAGTTACTTCACTAATATGAGACAAGCTTTTTTCCCATTTCTTAACACTGTCTAAAAAGGGTCCAACATATCTAGAAGCTGCCATGCTTTGAAGATTCATAGAGTTATCATCAAGAGTTTGAAGTATTTCGTCAATAGCACCAATGATGTAGCCTGGTTTAAATAAAAAAATTATTATGCTTTTAAGTGTAATGCAATTTTATTTTCAAAATACTTAAAATAAAATAAATTTAACAAAAAAAAACCCAATAATAATGTAAATAAAATAACGTAAATAATGTAAATAAATTAAATTTACATTATTATTGGTTTATATATATATATATATATATATATATATATATATATATATATATATATATATATATATATATATATATATATATATATATATATATATATTTATATATATATATATATATATATATATATATATATATATATATATATATATATATATACATATATATATATATATATATATATATATATATAAATATATATATATATATATATATATATATATATATATATATATATATATATATATATATATATATATATATATATATATATATATATATATATTATTTTACCATTTAATTTTTTATTATTAAAACATATAAATAATTCCTTTTCAAATATATTATTAGTTATAATCATAATATAAATTATTAAATATAACTGTTATTATAGTATATAAATTTTAATATTTTTATTTTTTAGTAGCATTAATAATACAATTTTTTATATAATATTTTAATAATAAATATTGATAAAAATAAGAATCATTTATATGATATTTTAATAACAAAAATAAAAATCATTTTTTAGAATTATTATTAATAATATAATTTTTTATATGATATTTTAATAATAAAAAAAAAGAACTATTTATATGATATTTTAATAATAAAAATAAGAATTATTTTTTATAAGAATTATAAAGAAAATATATAAGAATTATTTTATAAGAATTATAAAAAATTGTATAAAAAATATTTTAAGAATTAAAATAAATTAAAAGAATTAAAAAAGTAAGAATTATATAAAAAATATTTTATAAAAATTATAAAGAAAAATAAAAATTATTTATATGATATTTTAATAATAAAAAATTAAACGGTAAAATAAAAAAAATAATATATATATATATATATATATATATATATATATATATATATATATATATATATATATATATATATTATTTTATTATATTATATTATTACTATTATCTTATATCATGAAATAAATAGAACTTTAAATATAGCAAGCTGATAACATAGTAGAAATACCTAAATCTATTTTTTGATAATAAATTTTAAAGAATTTATATATATATATATATATATATATATATATATATATATATATATACATATATATATATATATATATATACATATTTATATAAACCTATAATGTAAATTTAAAAAAATAACAAATCCAATGCAAGATTAACCATGGCTGAGGCCTGTAAGCATTAATATTTTAGGGATCTTTATTTTTAAAAATTACAAAAAATTGGCAAAATGTATTCCCAAAACTCTATAATAAAATAATTTATCCATCAAATTATAGAAAGACCTTTTTGATAGCAACAAACTGTTTAATTTGGTCAAGAAACTATCGTTTTTGTCCTCATTTTAAATGGATATCAAGTTGAGAGCATTGAGTCTGTTTTGTTCCTCTCTTTTTGTTCTTTATTTGTGTGGGATTTTCCTTTGTGTGGGATTTTCCTTTGTAGGCACATTTTATGGAATCAATAAATAAATTCAGAAAGCTATCCTTAAATTTGTGGAATTCATAACTTCATGTATATCATCAATGTTGTCTTTCTTAGAAAATGATATCTTTTGAAAGTTCTACAAATGTTTATGGAAATGGATGAAGTCATTCCCAATTTCATTTTAGTCCAAGTTGCCCATAAGTTGAACTACATTTTCCTTTCTGTGTTCAACCTTAATCTTGGAATAAAATCAAAATCATTTAAGTGTCTTCTCTGCCTCACCTTAGTCAGTTCAGTTCACAAACTTATACAAAGACTTTAAACATTTGAAGTTGTTGCATAAACAAAAAGGTGGTTTCCTTTTCATGATTATTAAATAGAAATCTTATATCATGAAATCATCTTATATCATGAAATATTATCTTATATCATGAAATAAATAGAACTTTAAATATAGCAAGCTGATAACATAGTAGAAATACCTAAATCTATTTTTTGATAATAAATTTTAAAGAATTTATATATATATATATATATATATATATATATATATATATATATATATATATATATATATATATATATATATATATATATATATAAATATATATATATATATATATATATATATATATATATATATATATATATATATATATATATATATATATATATATATATATATATATATATATATATATTATAACTTGTATCAAACCCAAGCTATAACAGTATTGGGAATACAAAAATCAACCAAAAAGAAACATTTTCTATAAGGTTGATGAAATAATTCATACTTAAATATTATATTGATTATTAATATTATTATTTAAAATCTTAAAGAAATATAACCAAAATATAATCAAATATTATCAACTAATAAAAACAAGAAAAATTTAATATTTATTTTACATTTAATTACCTTTAGTACCATTTTACCACTTTACATTATTTTAATTTACACAAGTTTTATTTTAGATAAAATATGCAAACTACCATCAAAATATACATCAAAAGAGTGTGAACTAATCACCTTTAATTAACACAAACAATAATTAGTAGTTTTAACCAATTCAAAAATTTCATGTAAATTATGTACAATTAAAATGCTGTTTAAAAAAAAAATATTCATTAATATTCATTAGCCTCTAAGCTCTTATGAGCCCTAATCCAATGCACCAACTCCTTCTTATAGGGCTTGAGTTAATTTTTTTTATTTATAAATCCTGTATTCCTAAAAGATCAGGGACCATAGACAGTACATAATCTGCCTCAATGGATAATTCTTCACTGAATCAATAATAATGTAAATAAAATAATACAAGTCAACAAAATTAAATAAACCTCGTTCTTGTGTTCCCTTCATATATTTATGAATAGTAAATTTTAAAGCACCCCATATTTCAGCAACTTCATTAATTCCTTTCTCAATACTTAATTCTTTGACAGCACAGCCTACTATTTCTTTGATTATATCACTAAACCTATGAAGTTCCATTGCAAACATATTTTCAAGAGTAAATGTGTCAGGGTTTAACTCAAATTTCATCTTTGTTAAATCCATGAGCTTCATCCAATGACTAACAAAAAAAATTGTTTAAATGTTTTATTAAGCATCATACCTGTAACTTTAGAGGATTATTAAAATAAAATTTAAAATATTTAACTGAAAAAAGATTACCGCTCCCTCAATGCTTCATTCTTCAAATCGGAGAACAAGGGAATAGCATTTTTTAGTTCCTTTAATTTCTCATCCAAAGTAAACCATAATGACATTTTTTTGGCTTCACTAGGCAACTTTTTTAACTCATAAATGAAATTATCAAGACCATTCAGGATAACTTGCACATCAAGATTTACCCATAAAGTACTTGCCCACTCATTCTGCGCAATCTAATTTATAAAAAAATAATATTTACCAATATTTTGATGCAATTTTATTATGATTAAAAAACAAACAACAAAATATAAAACTATGCTGACTTTTACTCTTTCATAAACAGAAAGTATCATGTCTAAATTTTTAAGTTCCTTCTCTGTAGTTTGCATTTCTGAGTACATTGTTATGGGCAACCCAAACAACTTCTCTGCATTTAAAAGCTCTTGTCGCTCATGATTCAATTTAAAAAATTTTTCTTTAAACTGTTTTAAAATAATGATCCCTATAATAAAAAGTAAAAAAAGGAAAGAATAATTCATTTTTTTGTATTTTATGATTGAAACCAAATAAATTGTAGAGACAACTAGGGGAGAGTAGGGTAATGGCAAACATGGGGTAACTCCAAACATGGCCAATACAGCATAAAAGAAAAATATATTTGACAATATTTCTTTTTACCTGCTAAGAGGTGGTCTTATGCTCAGTTCTAAACGTGCAGTAGTGTAATGAAGCTGCAATTGTTGTTCATGATAAATTGAGCCTAACTTATTCTTATAATTTCATGCAACTTTTTTCATGAGAAACATTCCTGTTGTAGCTACTACAGATATAAAACCACTCCTTTTGCTTTTCTTGTTGTTGCATAGTATCATAATGAAGAGGTTTTTAACACTATTATAATTTAGGTAAGTTAATATAAACGCAATAGATAAATTGTATTTCAATTGTTTGTGTCTGTAGGGGAATAACGAATGATCTTAGTGGGTTTAATTTCTAAAGTGTTAACACAACCTAAATTTTTCTTTTATAAGATTTATAAAAATTGCTTTTAAGGGTTTGTAACTGACCAATAAGACTAAATTATAAGCAATAAATATGATCAATTTCTAATGACTGATGTCTTTAATTCGGGTTCCCACTTAGCTGTACCCCACTCTCCCTTATTGTAAAAAAATTTAAAAAATAGAAAACAAATTTATGAAAATAATAAGAACTTAATATTACCAATCTATGAATTAAAAAAAAATTATTGATTTTTGCCTGCCTAAACCAAAACCTTTGGTTGATGTAGCAGCACCCTTTTCATGTTCTACCTATTTATCAGTTAATGTAGGAGAACTCTTTGCATGTTCTACCTATTTTTCAGTCAATGTAACAGTACACCTTGCAGGTTCTACCTATTTGTCAGTCAATGTAGCAGTACTCTTTGCAGGTTCTACCTATTTGTCAGTTGATGTATGTAAAAATAAAAAAAATAAAAAAGCATTCAAAATGTTTTTAATTTTGTTAAAAAAATAAAAAACATTTTTATTTTTTTAACTGTCTATTAAGTTGTGTTAAAAAAAAACATAAAAATTAACTATTTTTCTCAATTAAATTTGATGGTTTTTACATAAAGAGTACTTAATTTTGTCATTTTTAAAGACAAATAGTGATTAAGAACTGTTTTTTAACTTAAGCGATAAATTTAAAGCCTTTACTATAAGAATATATAAGTATATATATATATATATATATATATATATATATATATATATATATATATATATATATATATATATATATATATATATATATATATATATATATATATATATATATATATATATATATATATATATAAAATTCTTCTTGTATAAACAAATTTTCTATACCTTGGTCAAGATCATTGCCTACAGTGCCAGGTCCTTCTATTTCAAACAATTTTCTAAAATCTTTTACCTGAGCAGAAAACTCCCCAACTTGTTGAAGAGTAAGCTACAAAATATAATTTCCTAATAAAACTTTTAAGTAATGAAATGCTAATAGTTAAAGTATTAAGTTCTGAAACACTAAATTTAATTGAGGCACTTATTTCCAGAAAAAGAAGAACAATGAATAAAATAAAAATTATTTTTGCTATACTAAACTTCTTTTATGCATATACACTGCCAATCCAACCCTAAAACTATGTATTAATGCATTTGGCATCATTTGTTTGATAAATACAAAAAAAAATCTCTAGTTAAAGCAGTTTATATAGGTAAACTAACTTTTATCTTAAATAAATTTTGACATAAAATTGATTTTAATCTGAATCAATTTTTACTTTGTTTCGACAAAAGCTTGGATAACAATACAAATTAATGATGTGCATTTGTTTCGACAAAAGCTAGGATGACAATACAAATTAATGATGTGCATTTGTTTAGACAAAAGCTAGGATGACAATACAAATTAATGATGTGCATTTGTTTAGACAAAAGCTAGGATGACAATACAAATAATGATGTGCATTTGTTTCGACTAAAGCTTGGATGACAATACAAATTAATGATGTGCATTTGTTTCGACAAAAGCTAGGATGACAATACAAATTAATGATGTGCATTTGTTTCGACAAAAGCTAGGATGACAATACAAATAATGATGTGCATTTGTTTCGACAAAAGCTTGGATGACAACACAAATTAATGATGTGCATTTGTTTTGACAAAAGCTAGGATGACAATACAAATAATGATGTGCATTTGTTTCGACAAAAACTTGGATGACAATACAAATTAATGATGTGCATTTGTTTCGACAAAAGCTTGGATGACAATACAAATTAATAATGTGCATTTGATAAATAAATAAAAAATTAACAATGCATGTATTAACTTTAACCAATATATATTATTAAAATAGAAATCAAGTTTAAAAGTTCTTTTAAACCAAGAATTTCTTCTAAAACTCAGGTTTAAACTGGTATACACTAGTTTCACCATTGTTTTCTCTTTTTTTGTTTTGCCCCCTATAGGCTTCCTACAAATAGAGAATTGCTAAAAAGGTACTACTGGATTATTCTCAAAAAAAGCAACAGGAAAATCTGTAATTAACTAAAATATTACATTTGTTAAATGTTCAAATTTAATCATTTTAATGTAATTTTTAAATTGTTTTAGTACCACACAAATCAACAATAAAATTAGTATTCCAGTTTCTTCTGGAAAAACATATTTAAGATCCTCAAGGTTTGATTATGAAGTGTGCAGAGTGAACACCAAGCAGATAATTACTGAACAGGCTGAGTTTAAAAAAGTCTTTATTTTGAGCAAGCAAACAATTAAGACCAAAATCACCAAAGTCAAAGAATGCCACACTTTAAAAATGCCTAAAACTTTAGATCTACCAGAGGGCAGCTACAAAAAGATAGATAACAATTTTTTGAAAGAGAGCAATTTTCCTTTCTCAATTCATAAAACAAACATACTTGATTTAACCAAAAATGATAGAAAAAAAGATTTAACCAAAAATGATAGAAAAAAACATTATAAAAGAGAAGTCTTTTAAGAAAAGATTCTTGAGGAGTTGTCTAAGAGGGGATATAGTCAAATTTTAAAACACAGACAATAGATTTTGTAAAAAGCCTCATAGGATACAGATAAAACTTATAAAAATATTAGAGTAGATCCAAAAGCATGAAGATAAAAATAAGAAATAAAAAGGTAACTACTATAAAAAAGATTTTTCGAGCACAGTGAAATCAAACTGACAGTGAAATCAAACTGACAGTGAAATCAAACTGACAGTGAAATCAAACTGATAGTGAAATCAAACTGATAATGAAATCAAACTGATAGTGAAAGCAAACAGATAATGAAATCAAACAGATAGTGAAATCAGATAGTGAAATCAAACAGATAGTGAAATCAGATAGTGAAATCAAACAGATAGTGAAAATAAACAGATGGTGAAATCAGATAGTGAAATCAGATAGTGAAATCAAACTGAATGGGAGGAACTTTATTTACATCTAGCTAAATTACAGAAAAAATAGAAAAGATTTCAGAGTGACATAAAAGTTTGCATTCAGTTAAGAATGAAAGTCATTCTTCACATACTGCTTTCCAACAATGACCAAATTTGAAGTAAAACTAAGTATGTATCTTTTGACTTCTCTTTATAAGGCTGATGGAGTTGACATAACCATCTTAGAAATTGAAACCTCTATGTGAATTAATCAAGCTTTTGCCATTCAAACAATGTTTATATACTATGAAATGTCTAATCAGGTTATTAGATTGTGTTCTGACACAAAATCCAGTAACACTGAAAAAAACAAAGATGTCATAAGCATTACTACATAAGCCCTAGGTAAACCTGTTCTTTGGTTAAAGTCTGATACTTAACATATATGAAAAGCAGGTGGCTCATGTAATAAAATAAATTTTTGATCCATTAAGTGGCCTCACCAAGGAGCTTTATGCCATTCTTTCTAAAAACTATTGCCACAGATTTACAAAGATGTAAACAAACTAGAGAGAATTATAAGGTTTGGAATTTTTAAGGAATTATAAGCAAGTTGCCTTTAGGCCTGGCTCATTTCTGTTCAAACTTGCCTCAGATAATAAAGAACTCTTTACAGAATTCTTTCACAGCTATTCAAAAGGGGACCTTTTATTATTCACACCTATTCACAAGGGTACTTTCCAGAGAGGTGATTACATGTATCTTTGTGAGCTTCTGGCATTTTTTCTAGGAGCTTATTTATTAAACTTTCAAAGACTTTCCCTTACTTTTAAATGTGTGTAAGAATGATTGCATTAACAAATTAACTACATCAGGTTAATTGAAGATTTCATTAAGAGAACTCACAAAGAAGGCAGGTTTCAGGATTTTCTCAAGGTAACTTATTATAGAACACTGAATATGAACAACATTTTTTAGTAATTATTAATAATAATAATGGTTTATATTGTATGAATAATACAATACTAATTTTCATAAATTTATGTATTTATAATTTAGGTAGCCCAGAGGAACTACCTAAATTATAAATACATAAATTTATAATTTAGGTAGTTCAGCAGAAGATTATAAAGAATACTACAAACTTCAAATTTCATAACACATAAATTCAGAACTGTTTGACACACACCTGGTAACAATTTTTATCTGAATATTATGACTAAAATCAATTTCATGCCAAAATTTATTTATTAAAATAAAAGTAAATTCCCCTAAATAACCTTCTGTTTAAGCTAGAGACCTAATTATTTTTTGCTTGTATTTATGAACAAATAGAAGCCAAATGCAGCATTCTGTGTATTAAAATTCAATGTATGATATATTATTGGGACACCCTACCCTACAAAAGACAATTTTAATATAATAATGCAATTTTAGTAAAGTCATTAGAAAATTGCAACAAAAGTTGAAAAGTTTATTCAATAAATTCAAAAAAATTTGAAATTTGAAATAAATTCAAAAATTTGAAATAAATTCAAAAAAAGTTGAAAAGATTATTCAATAAATTAATGACTTGCTTTAGTAAATTTTTTCTTGGCAGAGCATAAACGCGTATCCACTAGTTTTGATTGAAGCATCAAATCATTCCAAATCTTTGACAGTGCATTTGACAAATCTCTTTCTTCGATAGGAACCTTGAAAACAAAATATAAAAATTGCAAAATAAGTTAAATGCTTTTAAAATATTAACTTAGAAAAATTTAGAAAAATACCTTTTATTTGATCAAAAAACTTATATCTAGAAAATACCTCAATTCCATACATATGCAAAGTTCTATATCGCTCTTGAATATCATAAATTCTAAACTCTATATGTGACTGTAAGTCATTTATATTTGTTATACTTTTAAGCACAAATTTTAAAGTTTCTATGGTGTCAGGAGAATATTTTAAATCATTTGAGTAACCCTAAAACAAAAAGTTTAACTTAATTTACATCAATGTTTACTTATACAAAAAAATGTAAAATTCTAAAACTCTTCTAAGCAATTTATTTACTGGAGATCTCAAGGTCAATTTTTTCATTTTTATTCAGTAAAATTATATACAACTTATTAAACTTTAATATTTCATAGAGGTGTTGAAAGTTTCATGTTAATGATATAGAAGCAATATATGCTTCAATATCATTAACAGTTTGTTTTCACCAAATATTGATGATTGATGTTTTTGTTGACAATTCTAAAAAAATTTTTAAACAAAAAGTCTTGTTTTAAAGGGTTTTTAAATCCTTGTGCATAGTAAGTTAAAATCAATCAACCGTATTAAACATGTACTAGATTTAAATAAGAAAATAAAATTATGGAAACCTATCTAAACTACACAAGTATGAAATCTTGGATGTTACAGTTTAAAAAAAAAAGATTAATATCTTACTTTTAACTCTTTTTCTAAATTATAAAGCTCTTCTTTTACTGCAACATTAAGTAACCTTCCAATTGATGTGACCCAAGCTCTTGCATTAGATTGAATACTTATTACCAGAGGCTCCAAATTCAAATAAACAAAGTTGATTATTTTAGAAGTAGGCTGCACTGTCAGCTTAGTAAAAATAAAAAAATTTATTAATTTAAATAACTATTTTTTCTTGCGACATAGTTTGCTATTAATTTTTCATATATTTAATTTAAAATCCATTTTGTTTGCATAACTTATAAACTTGAATAAAATTATATAAAAAAAATTTCAATTAAAAGATTTGAATAAAACTATATAAAATAACCTCATTAACAATTCTTGAATAAAATTATATAAAAAACCTAATTAACAAGTCTTGAATACAATTATATAAAAAATCCCATTGACAAGATTTGAATAAAATTATATAAAATAACCTCATTAACAAGACTTGAATAAAATTGAAGTTTTTCATCATATTGTACACAACTTGGATTTTTTGAAGCAAATTTTTCAATAATCATCACCTTGAATAAATAAAAAATTAAAGCATTAAAGTTAAAGAATAATGAAAAAAGTATTAAGAGTAATAAGATATTTATAACATATATAAGATACTTAATTTGCAATAATATAAAAATCATAAAAAGACTTGAACATTACAACATGTTAAATTCAAACATGCCTTATCAAGACTCCATAGTTTTCTGTATTTTTTCCATTTGTTTAAATACTTATTTAAACCTCCAAGAGTTACTTGCAAAGTTTTTGATATTTGAGAAACCAGATCAACAACCTGAGGGTGTGCAGAAATGTCAGAAAAAAAGCTAAACACAAATGGCTCGTCCTCTGTTGGTATATTTTGAGGTAAAGTTTCAATACATGAGCCATGCATCCATCTGAGAAATGATTTAGTGCTAAATTTTTAAAAAACAAATTGAAAATTTGTTTTATTATAATAATTGTAGTTAAATAAAAAATAATTCAAAAATCTTTCAAAGATAGAAAGTTAAAAACTATTACAATTAAAATACGTAAAAAATAAATTCATGATCATATACAATTTGAAAGATATATTACCAAATTTATAACTTATTAAAAAATATTAAAATAAGTTTTGAAAAGTTTGTAAATTTAGAAAACAAATAAACCTCAAACCAGAAATGTAATAGTAAAAAGTCCTATAGACTTTATTTTTATCCAGAATCTTTGCAAACCTGATATAATTATAGAACTTCTTCATAATTACAGAAGGAAAACAAAGACAATTGCCAGAATTACTAATTACAAAAAACTTGTATAAACATGATCTTTTGTAATGGAAACCAAACTTATATACTACTTGACATTGCATACCTAACCCTAACCTATAATACAAGGCCTGAAACATATGTAGAATTCTCTATATCAGTACCTAAAGTATATATAGTTTGAAGGATATGACAATATTCTTTAAATAAAATATGTACCCTTTAAATAAAAGGTGTCATCTAGGGCAGATGTTAATTACATCCAGCTACTCGTAGAAGGCCTCTAAGGCAAAGACTTAAGAGGTAAGTAAAATAAATCTGTTAAGCAGCCTCGAACCCCTTATTCATCTATTAGACTGGCATAGATGTAAACCAGTGTTAAATTGTTTCCTCCCTAGCATGATGAATGGTAAATCTTCTTGACTCTACTCATAAATTTTTGCTTGTGTCTCCTTGATAGTGGCTATGCAACTTTTCCTGTTATTTCCTAATGAGGGTACAGATCTAAATTAATGGTTCAGAGGCTGGCTGATAGTTAGGTTTTCCTGTTAGTGCTTTTGGTGTGTCAAGGCCACATAAGGAGGCCTAAGTTATGACTTTGGGTTCACTATCAAAACAACTGAGACAACTGCATAGCTCATTGCTTGAAATGACATGCTCTATCTATGAATGAGTCAAGTTCTCATTAACTAAAATCATGACCAAAGTAAACTAAAATATTAAAATAAAAAAGTCATTACCACCAACTGTTTCAATATATCTTTCACAAATATTTGTGATCTTCAAAGTATTTTTTCATCAGTTGAATCAGTGGTAATTTATATACCATTGTTCCTTATTCAGATTCCAGTATTTGATTAATTAAACATAAATTCATCTATTAGCAGAGAAATCATCTTATCAATTTTTGATGTGGTTTAACTCTTCACTCAATCACTTTTCAAATTTTCTTTATTCTCCTTCTTCTCAAGACTCTTTTAGATCACACAAAACTGGCACTAAACCCATAACATCTGCATTTCTCAATCTCTTACTCATATAATCAATTTTATGACTTGATTTTCAAACAACTCTAATCACTTACCCTCACTCCTTGATTTGTCTTTGATGCTGCTTGTGTTCAGTTTCTCCTTTTTCTCCTTTAGCTGGTTCAGACCATGAATTGATCTCTATAAACCTTTAAACTCATACTTCTTCTTAAAACTCACCCATCATTGCAGTACTAATTACTAACCTAACGCTGACTGAGATTACTTATGTAATTTTCTTCATGGCGGTCTTTGGGCTGATGTCTTTTTTCTCTGATGTCTTTTTTTTCAACTGATAAATACTCCTATGATGTTAATTGCTGGATCCAGTCATGTATGGAAGTTTTTATTTCTTCTTGTCAGTTCCAAGTCAAGCATCATTCTATTCCATGGTTTTCGCCTTCTTGTGCAGCTGCTATATCTAATCGTAATCATTCATTTTATCTTTTTCAAAAAAAAAAACTCTTCTCAGAACAAACACCTTTTTATTATTGCAAAAATTCAATGTAAAAAGGTGTTGTCTGATGTTTCATTATTCCCAGTTTACTAAATCTTGTATCATATCTCAGAAAATAGGCTCTAGATACTTTTGGAAAATCTACAACAATGTCTTTAACAAAGGTAAGTAAAACATTCTGTCTTTAGTTTATGGGACTGGTCTCATTATCTCTCATAAGGATAAACCAGAACTACTTGCAAAAAACTTTTCTTCTAATTCAATTCTTGAACTTTAAATACCATACCCTTCCTGCCTTTTCCAGTTAAATAGGTTAAGCCATTGTTAGACATCCAAATCACTCTGGTTTCCGTTGCTAAAGTCATTCCTAAATTAAACTCTTTTGTCTTTTTATTATTTGATTAAAGCCTAATACTTAACATTATATTTTATTGCAGGTTCATAACAATTTATTTAAATATATTAGGTGACAATTTAATTAATTATGTAAAGAGAGAAAAAATGGAAGCAAAAATATTCAAAAAAATACCCAGTGGCAATTAAAGTGATGAAGATTACATTTATTGAAAAAGAATGCTTGTAATATATCTAAAAAAAAGCAGATAGACACAAAGAAGGTAAATACAAAGTTTTATTTGTTTTAGGTGGAGTAAAAGTCTTTACAGTTGTTCATCATGCAACTTCATATAACTTCATATAACATGGTGCATGATGCAACTTCATATAACTTCATATAACATGGTGCATGATGCAACTTCATATAACAAGGCAATAGCAATACTTAACCACAAATTTCAAAAACGGTCAACAGCAATCACGATGCATCACAGTGATCACAATGCATCACACACTTTGATCATTTAAGAAACATGCCTTGTTACAAATAGCAAGAAATTTAACACTCATGCCTTAATGCCTGAAGTCCATATCAAGAAAATAAAGCAAAAAAATCACAGCATACCAAAAAATTTAACTGCATGCTCAAACAAAATATAAAATCAACCAGATTTTTTTACTGAATAGGTCTCTGCAGAAGCCTATTCAGTTAAAAACAGACAGCAGATAATACAAAAGGGGGATCCACTTGTTGACAGTTTTTCACATATCAAATTTCAAAATGGAAAGATTGATACAGTATCAACTGAAGATCTAGCTCCACTTCAGGAGGTAGAATCATCAGCAGAATTTAGTATTTATGCAAGGCTGGTACAACAGAAATCCTGTGAACAAGGTAGAGACCAAAGGACTATTGCTCCCAATACCTGTAATTGGTCAAATGGAAAGTGGTATGTATTAACAGAAAACAGCATAATATTTTTAACCCAAACTAGTATACTTGAGAGATGGCATCACAAATAAAAAGTACCAAGTAGTTCGTTACTCAAAGCCCTGCTACCATAGAAACACAGAGCAATACATTTTCAAGACTAGAACAAAATATTAAAAGACCCAAATACCTAAACAACTACATAACTTATTACTTCAGCATTTCTCTCAATAAAAATAATGATTCTCATGGAAAAATTTAAAAGCGGAAAAGAGTGTTATATTTATAACACATAGTAAAAGCCATGACGCTATTTCCTGTCTTTTAAGGCTTCAATGAACTACATATATAAATTACATTCTATCATTCTGTCATAGTGTTTTACTTTATCATTGTTATTGTACTGACTTTCTAAAATTTTATAGTGTATCTATAAAATTTTTGCGATTATCATATAATTATACAATTTTTGAGATTATCATATCAACCTTGTTCGTGTATTGTTTCTTATCGAAATTAATGATCTTACTGACAAGCTTACACCTAAAGTGGCTCTATTTGCTGATGACTTAACTTTAAAATCCTGTTTTGACAAAAAGTCTTTTTTTTATTTATTAGAACACACTGCTAATCTTGATTCAAAATCTGATTCAAATTTGATCTCAAAAGATTCCAATCTGATCTCACATCTGTAACAGCTTGGAACTTGAAGTGGCTTGCGAATTTAAACTCCAGAAAAACTCAGTTATTTATTGCAAACAACTACAGCAATACTGTCAACCTTCCTACAACATTCTTATTTATTTACAGTATTTTCTGGATACCTTAAGGTTCTACTCATGGCCATGTATTGTTTCTTATCTACATTATTGATCTTCATGACTATTTTACATCTAAATTTACTCTATTTGCTAATTATAATTACAATGTAAACCTAAACTTATAATAGTAGTAATTATAATAAAATCATAAATCAAAGTGCTTAGTAAAAAGAACATTTAAAAGTTTAATAAAAAATAAAAATATACCATTCAACAGTTTCTCTGACAACCTGTAATAACATTTTATATGACTCTGTAGCAGGTGGTAAAAGAATGATTTCTGGAGCAGATAATACTGTTTCCACTTGAAAAAGAACTTTATTTGACTGAATTTGAGACAGAAAAATTTGTAGATTTTTTGTCACAAACTAAAACAAAATGTCATAAACATTCAAATATAAGCAAAAAGGAAAAAAAATTTCAAATTTCTTTATGTATTTATTAAAATTAAATGTATGAAAAGAATATATAATTAAATAAAAAACAAACATAAAGTAAAAGTAAAATAAATTTAAAAAACGCATACCAAAACTAATCAGTTAACACAAAGTTGAAACAAATAAATAAAAATGTTTATCAAAATTTTTTTGTCAATTTAATTTAAATTTGTTTTTATTATCAAAAAAAATAGTTTTTTTTTTTTATATTTTTGTTATACTTTATCTTATTTTTTTATCAATTTTTTATCAATGCATACAAATTAGAAACAAACTGTCCAACTTAAAAAGTGATTTGAACAGTCAAAACTTGTCACATTGGTTTGACAAGGTTCTAACAGATTTTTTTTATATTAGGAGAATAGCTAATAAATCTTTTATTTTTATTTTTTTACTTTTTTATGTCTAATTAAAAATATTTATATAATTTTTAATTATATATATATATATTTATACATTAATCAAAGAATACATAAACAAATAAAAAGCAATAATATAAATAATTTTAATTAAAATTAAAACTTTTTTTTCTAAATTCTCCTAATATAAAAAATTTCAGTTAGAACCTTGACAAATCAAGGCGACAAACTGTATGCATACTATTCAACTGACGAGTCAAGCGAGATTGAGATGCATTTTTGGACATTGTCTAAAAGAGAAAGATCATTATTAGAAGAACCAGCCTAAGCATGACAGCAGTACTCAATGCAGGAACAAATAAAAGATTTGTAGAGGTAGAGAATAGAATAATAAAGAGAGGCAACTTTAGCAGATGCTAATTTAGCAATCAATTGTATATTTGGTTTCCATGAAAGGTCAGTAATAAATGATAATCCAAGAAGATGTAAAGAAGAGGACTCAGTGAGGAGGTTGCCATTCATTAATATAGGAATGTCGACCGAACTGCGATAGTTATTTGCGGTATGTAACTGAGTTTTGTTGGAGTTTAAATTTAAAAGCCACTGTGAGCCCCAAGTCAGTAAGATTATTACTGTAGATAAGAAACAAAACAGGATAAAGCCTTGGATACAAGGATAAAACCTTGAGGTACCCTAAAAGTTACTGGAAATAAAGAAGAATGTTGGCCTTCGAGGATGACTTTAACAAAGCGGTTTGAAAGAAATGTTTTGATAATCTTAAAAACTTTCCCAGATACACCATGTGAAACAAGCTTATGGGAAAGACCAGCATGCCAAACTTTGTTGAAAGCTTTAGATATGTCAAGAGAAATAGCTCTAGCCACCTCTCACCTCTCCACTTCCATCTAATGCACAATAAAATCTTATAGTCACAGTAGTTAGCAAAAGAGCGGTAGTGAGAAAGGATCGAAAATCAGAATGTTCACTACAGTTTTTTGAAAATTGGAACAACAGATGCCATTTTCCATTGGGCAGGAAAACAAGACTCAGTCAAGCACTTAATAGTTTAGAGAGAATTGAAGAGAGTTCTAGAGAACATTTTTGTAAGACTATGACAGGAATGTTGTCTGAACCACAAGCTGTAGAAGTGTTTAATCGAGATATGACTTTAGCAAAGAAAGCTAGTATGATTTGAATGTCTAACAATGGGTTAAACTGTTTAATTGGAATGGAAGGAATTAGAAGAAAAGTTATTTGCAAATAGTTCTGTCCTATATAGTTCTAGTCTTGGGAAAAGAAATAAGATCAGTTCCATGAATGAGAGATGGAATGTTAGACCTAGCTTTGTTAATAACGCTGTTGAAGATTTTCCAAAAGTCTCTAGAGCCTAACTTCTGAGATAAGATATGAGATCTAGTGAACTGAGAATAATGGAGCTTAGCATCTGACAGCATTTTTTTTACATCAATTTCTTGCAATAATAAATAGCTGTTTGTTCTCAAGAGAGTTGATCTTTTGAAAAAGATGAAAAAAATGATTGCGATTATATATAGCAGCTGCACAAAAGGATGAAAACCATGAAGTAGAATGAGGCTTGCCTTTGAATGATGAATAAACAGACAACTTAAAAGATTGCAAATTATAAGAACCAGGAAAGCAAGATGAAGGAAGCAAATCCCAAAGAACTGATATTCAAGGAAAAAAAAAAAGATAAATAAGAATATTTGGAGCACTTAGTAACAGTTACAGTAAATGGATGAGACTTAATTAAATGATAAGTAACACAAGAATGAATTTTAGAAGAGAACGCAAGAGATACAAGCTCTTTAGAGCAGTGTCCATTATAGTATTTTAAACTCCATCAACCAATCAATTAGCCTGTGTCATATTGTAAAAAAATTCAAAATCCCGAAACGTTATAATTTGCAGTCTTTGTCATTTAGTTGATTATGTTTAAAGTTTCAACTCATAAGGTGTAACAGCGTTATGTTGAACTTGATTTTACAAATTTTTCATGTTTTTTATGGAAAATATTACTTATTTAAAAAACTCAATACTAAAAACAAAAAAATGTTCAAAGTTTAGTCTAGACAAAAAAGTTTTTTATTTTCTTATAAATGATTTTATTTAAATAATGACAATCAAAAATTATTGTTGCAGAGTTACACAATATCAGTTTCTCTAACTTTTATTTGGTACTTTTTTGGTTGAATATTTTTTTTTTTTTTTTTTTTTTACATTGCAACTACTGTTTTTTGGTAACATTAGCATCAGCAGGCATCTTCTCTTGATCTTCTCTCTTAATACAAGTATCACATTTTGCTTTTAGTTTTCAGGTTTACTTGCAATGAAATCTTGAATGAAGCAAATATTTCTCTTGGCACAATCATTTGTTACTTGCATGTTTTTAAAGAACTGTTCAAACTTTTTGTGCTCTTCAAATCAATTCAGCAGCCAAAATCACTCTTAATTTATTGATTAACATCTTCTTTAGAAACACCAACAATTTTAAAAAGAATTCAATTTTCTGAACCAAATCAAGATATTTTGTGGGAAAACCCCACAAAAAAATTGTCAAAAAATGTCAAAATTAAGGACTTTCGTGGACTAAACGGTTCAATTACCTCCGGCTTAACATTGATGAGTATGTCATGTTGAGTCTCAAATAAAGAGAAATAATATAAAAAATTCAAAAATAATAATTTTATTAAAAAAAATATTATTTTAGATTTTACTGCTTTGCAATTAAAACTTTTTAAATAAAAATGAAAAAAATGCATTTTATTATATTTTTATTATTTTTGAAATTATTTTATATAATTTCGCTTTATTTAAGACCCAACAAGACATACTTTTGAAAAAAAATTTTATTAATATTAGGAAACTATAAAACCTTCAAAGGTCTTGAGGTATCCCTAAAAATATTTTTATTTAAACAATCTTTAAATGCAGTGTTATCTAATCATAAAAAATAAGAGCTTTTTGGAAAATGTTGTTTTTTGAATAACCCTAACATATATATATATATATATATATATATATATATATATATATATATATATATATATATATATATATATATATATATATATATATATATATATATATATATATATATATATATATATATATATAAATAATCATTTTAATAATATGAGTAGATGAGTAAATTAAATAACCTTTAATAGAGAATGAAATACTTTCTGCTCCCAATATGAATAATAACTGGATAACTTTGGAGCCTTTCCAGTGTTAGTATGCACAACAACTCCTTCTATTTTAGTTAACAAAGGACCAATTGCACGATATTTACGTGAATGAGATTCCATCTCACTTGCACGTATATTTGAAAGAAATTCAGCATAGTCCTGTTAATATTAATTTAGTATAATCAACAATAGCAGGTGAATTACTAGTGGTATAAAAAAAATGAACAAGAAAATTTATTCAGAAAAACCTTTGGTCCGGGATAAACATCACCAGGTTTAAGTTGTGGATATTGAAATAAAATTGATCTTTCTATTACTTGCAGTCGATTGGTAATATCCCTTGCATTTTTTTGAACTTGATTGATTAATGATTCAAACTTTGATATTGCATGTTCACATTTAGTAATATAGTCAGATATTCCTAAAGAATTCCAATTCAATCTCTTTTCCCCAGGCTTTAGAGTACGCTGCAATTGGTTAAGATGCTCATCCAGAAGAAGAAACTTAAAGAATAAAATTAAAATACATCTAAAACAAACCAAAAAAAGGTAAGAAAAAAAGCATTAAATAATAACTACATAACACTAAACAATAGAATATTGAAATTTTTACTTCAGCTTCACTAAGTGACATTAGACAGTTATGATACTGTTTTAGCATACGGTTTAATTCATCAACAGTTTGATTGTATTTATCTTCCTGTAAAAATTTTAAATTGTTAGTCAAAAAACTCAAACTGGTAACAAACAAACCAACTTTTTTAGTTTCAAAAGAACCTGCAATGCCACATTTCTTGCTAATTCTGGTATAACAAAACCAGCTTGCTCTAAGTACTTTGCTTCTTGAATGATTTCTAACAACTCACCGGGAAAATCAACCAAATAATAGACACAATTTTCTAAAAATCAATAAAAATTTAAATTAAAAAGTAATTATAATAATAATTTATAAGGAAACAAAAACTCACTAGCAGAGGTCTGTACTGCTAGACTTCTATTTAAATCTGTCGGTGAAATAATATTATCAGTCTGAATGTGTTTATTATCTTGAATAAGAATATTTCGCTTTAAATAGCTGAGCAGCAGACTTTCTACTTTCTCTTTCCAAAGTGTGTATTTTTCATCTTCATAAGCTTTCATTATTCGTGCTACTGCAACATACTTCTTAGTAACCTATTTGAAAATAAATACAATTTCACACAGGTTCACACCACAAAAATAGTTTACAGGCAATTTATATAACTGGCTTCTAAAACTCATTAAAATAAATTTAAAAATCAATTTTACCAGTTTTCCTGTTTCGTTGTTCAACATATCTTCCATGACTTGGAATTTCAAAATAGTGCTCTTTATTTTATGAAACAGAGAGCGCTCCCAGAATATAGCTCCTGCCACTGGAGGATGGTTTTTGCTGATAGGAGGATTAGCCTCAAGTTCTTTAAATATTTCAAAAACTTTATCGACCTAAAAGAAAACATTAAATTTATTAATTTAATTGAATTCAAACTATTATATACATAAAAATTTCAGTATAAGAGTAAGAGATTATTGAAAAATGTCATCTTGATTTAGTTCTAAATGAAACATTGCTGATTATTATATATGATGTTACATTAAAATAGCCATCTGCAGGGACTGAAGTATATACGTTAAATAAGGGCAGAATTAGGAACAAGTGTGTATGTACATGCATATAATGTTGCATACTTAAAGAATACACAATAAAACTGAAGTAATTATATAACCCTATATATATATATATATATATATATATATATATATATATATATATATATATATATATATATATATATATATATATATATATATATATATATATATATATATATATATTAGGGATGTACCGAAGCTGAAATTTTGCCGAAGCCGAAGCTTCGGCCGAAGCCACATTGCCGAAGCCGAAGCTTCGGCACTATATATGCTTAAAATTTAATCAGCATTCAGATCAGAGAGGTTTAAAACAAAAAAGGTACCAAAACTATGGTCCTTGACTAATAATACAGAAAAATCGTATAAAAATGAGGACGCCAGTCAGGGTTGCTGTTCCAGGCAGAGCAAAAGCTCTCAGCGCCCCTGTTTAAATATTTCTCATTATGTCGTTTCTAATACTTGACCGCACCGAGCATTTTTTTTTTAAACTTAAGCTTTTTTGAAACATTCTCCCCAAATTTTCCTACTTCTAGTTCTACTTTTTCTGTGTGAAAACCATATTAATGTTATATAGCATCTTTTCATATGCTGTATATTTTATTTTTATTTTTAATGCACCTTTTGTTGATAGAAATTGATAAAAATCTGTGAACATTACTAGAGTAAATTTATCTTTTGCACTTGATCACTCTTTCTTTAAATAAACACTCTTAGCTGATCTAGTTGTATCTACAACATAAAAAATCTTAGAAACACACTTTATCTTTTTATTGCTATTTATTTCAATATCTTTTTTTTACTTCTCTGTATTCATTAAACGAATATTTTCTAAACTGAAAAAAACCCAAGTTAAGACCATTTTGGATTCCACTACAACTGTTGTGAACCTGCTGCTAAAAAAAAGTACAAATGATAGATTTCTCTCTAACTTCTTTTTTACACACTTTTAAGTATTTTTTTATTGATTATTTTTAACTTTACACTACATAACACTTTCTATAGCTTTTTTTAATCTTTTACACTTTGAAATCTTAGTATTCATTCTTCTTCTGTCTCTATAATGAATAAATCTGCATCAGTATCTGAAATCAAATATTAACTATCTGTGATAAAAGCTTCCATAGTAATCTAACAACTCTGTAGAGTGAGCTTTAAATAAAATAATAAATAGAATACTTTATAAATTTTTTGTTTATAATTATATTATTATTTACTTTATATTTATAAATAAACAGGGACTGAGCAGGCTGATATTTATTTGATTTAAATTGTTTATTTAATTTAAATAAATTTTGATGATAAATATAAGAGCTCAAAGTAATCAAAGCTTCAACCTTTAATTTATTTTAAATAAAATTTAAAAGTCTT